ACCGAAAGACATGGAAACATGTAATTGGAAAGAATGGCCCTAGCAACCTCAGCAATAATGACATCAGGATATTGCGGTTTCGTTCCGTTATAAGCACCTTCGAGCATCGAACCGTGCATCAGTATACCTGGTATGGATAAGCTTGTCCACAGAAGTCGATAATCGATTTGATAAATCGTCATCGACGCTCTGGGACGTATGTTCACGTTGAGCAGAAGCAGCCACAGGGTCAAATGAGAAACACTATTGTATGCAGACAAAGCTTATACTGGAACAACATCGCACCACGGTTTTGACTGACATGAGTGATAAACTCCTATGCGAAATCCGAATGGAATCGCTATAAGAGCGGCTTACTCGAGGTTGCCGCCGAATGTTGCTGTTTAAAAAGTTGCTTGGTTGGCCTGCCGCCTGAAGATCAGAAAACAAACTTCCTGGGGAATAGCAGAGGTTCAACTGACTGTCAGCGAGAAGAAGGCCGCATTCGAGGCGTGGCTTGGAAGCAAATGGCCTTCAGCTAAAACTCAGTACGAAACAACGCATAAAGCAGCGGCAGAAGGTTGGTCAAGGCGAATGCGTAACTCTTGGAAAAAACTCGGTGAGGTGCTACGATCAAATTTCCAGACGATAAGCAGGACTTTCTGTCAGACCATCCGCCACATCCAAGATCGAAAAAAACGGCATTCCGAAAGTCCTGAAGTAACAAGTTCGGACATCCTCCTACCAAGAATGAGGACATGCTTCAGCGATGTCAGAGGCATGCATGTATTCTGAGGAACTCCTTAGCCCTGAACAACCTTCTGAAGATTCGCCAGAAGAGCATCTGGCAAGAAATAATTATCTGTTCAGCAGATGAAGTCACAGAAGCTGGTAAAAGTTTGTGAAGTGGCTAGGCCACTGGAATCGATGATATCCGCCCTGAGATGCTTAAGTTTTAGGGGAACAGGCACGTTGTGGCTAACGCGCTTCTATATGATTGCAGTGGCTACGGAAAAGACACTACTGGACTGGAGAATGGGGACTGTAGTACCTCGGTTCAAAAAGAAAGATTATTCCGAGTGCTGGATGGAATTCACGGTGAATTACCTTATTCAACCTCCCGGTAGGCGTCTGCGCAAAGATATTTGAAACAGGTACTGTGGAATAGCTGACTCGAAGGTAAAAAAACAGTGTGTTCATTTGAGGCCGAAGCACTGCTGGCCAGATTGTTGAGAAATTGTGGGAGTTCGCCCATCCGGTGTACCTGTGCTCTGTTGACAGTATCCCGCGGAGAAAACCCTGAATGTGCATATAAGCGTGTGGGATTGATGGCCAGTTGCTACGAGCCATCCAGTCAGTATGTGCTGATGGCAGGTGTTGTTTCAGAGAAGACGGCGTTAAGTTGAGAACCGTTCAGCGTTGGCACTTGATTCCGCCAAGTCTGCGTCCGGTCCCCTTTCCTGTTTGTGTTGTACATGGATAGAAGAGTCAGGAGCAGCCAAAGCATGAGTGCATCGGAGTAGCAAATGTGGAGACAAGAATTTGGTGTTTGTGGGCGACCTGATTTTGTTGGTATTTTCTGAAAATGATCTCCGGCGCTCGCTGGAAGAATTCGCAGACAAGTGCGAGAGATGTAACCGTGTGAACGTGTTTAAAACGAACTACCTAGTAGTTTATCGTTCTCCTGCCAGTTGCAATGTGCCTTTAAAGTGAGAAGCTGTTGAATCGGATCGGTGAAGAAACTCAGGTCGGCCGAGGTCGTGTTTACTGGCGATGATAAACGGTAGGAAGAGATCGACCGGTGAAGTGGAGTGACCAACGGGTTTTTGAGTGAACTATCCATAACCGGGGACTGGAGACTTAACTGTCTGCGTTGCAGTTGAGCTTCATCTCGATGCTCACATTCACGAGGCACGGGTGGCTGAAATGAGTTTTTGGAGACGAGTCTCTGGACTTACGCGTCTTGACATGGTCCGTAGTACAGACACCTGAAACAGCTTTGGTTACAGCTGGTGTTTCTTCAGATTGAGAAGTCACAGGTGCGATGGTTTGAGCACGTCTTGCAATGCTTCCAGAAAGGAAGGTGAAACAGATGCTACTTGCTCAACCGACCGACCGATGACACCGGGGACGGGATTAAGAATAACGTGTAGGAAGTTTCTCGAGAAACTCTTCTCCGACTCGGGTTACGTTTTGCTGATTCTCAAACTCTGAGAGGATCGGGGACACAGTCTGCATACTCGACCTGAAATAATAAGTGATCATCGAAACTGACTGACGACGCTATGACATCACAAGGAACAATGAGGCATTCTTGTTCATTTTCATTTCTTCGTATGTCCGTGGACGGATAAGTGCTATGGGCGCTGGTAGCACGCAAGGAAGAGGCTGCAAGGAGGTTGCTATGGTCAAAAGACCAGGTGTAATGCGTATTGAAACTTCTTTAAATCAAGATGTTTCAGCTCCACAGTTGAACGAACTCACAACCGCCCTTGAGGCATTTTAAGATGGCAGGTTTTAGAAGAGGTAGGTGATTGTGATCGATGAAAAATTCTGGGATCTTTGCAAAATCCAGAATAGCGTTGCACTTAACATTAATAATAATAAAACATATAATGAACTTTTACAGAGATTCTATCAACAGCCAACGCTTTAGCGCAGTGTCCTCAAATGTTGACTGATTGCTCCGGTAAATATAAAGCTAAAATATATAGCTCCGATAAAGCTATATGATATCTGCTCAATGCTATCAGCCAATGACGTGAACTTTAACAACTTGTATTCTGCTATTATACAATTTGTTGCGTTGTATATAATATGAACATATTTTGCTCAAGGCTTACTGGACGAGACACTTTATGTTCGATTTTCAGTTCTGTTATTGAAAATCGCTGAGATCGCCGTCCACCGACAAATCAAGACAATCTAATAAATTAAGCGATTATGTCTGATTCAATTACTGGTCTTTCTTAGAGTTTGCATGCAAATTAGATTATATTTGCGTTATTCACAGATGGCACTCGCTGCCTTCATCTTCTAGCTGTAGTATGAGCATCTTTCGGGAACGGGTAGTGAAGTTTCATTGTTTTGATAACTGGAGTAGAGGACGGTCTTAGATTTAGTGGATGTCACATATTGAATATTGTTGGGTTCATCTGAACTGTTTTTGACTGAATCTGGAAATTGCTAGCATATAGTCATGTCCATAAATTCGACAGTGGCATTTATCCATGCTACAAGAACAATGAGTCTGGACACTCCGCGCCTCTCAGACGCTTAAGCTTCTGTTGTGTGAAAATCGCATTTTGAATTTCTATTGTGTGCAGAAGTTGTAACGGAATACGTACTAGAAACGAGACTTA